ACCTGCACAGAACATAACTCCTCACCACCCCCTAGATTTTTTCCTGCTCCTACCAGGGGCTGTGTCCTCCCTCCAAAGCATGTGGTCTCCTGGGGATGCCCCAGGCAATGGGCAACCTGTTAACCTGCACACTCTGCCTCCCTCTCTCTTCTCCAGCTGTTACTAGAGCACCAGGACTCCATTGCTCCCAGCCAGGGGGACCCCCTGCATGAGCTGCTGGAGGATCTGGATGAGCTGCCTACCGTCCAGGCTCTTGTTGGTAGGTGCAGCTCTCCTAGGAAGGACACCCTGATGCTGTGTCAGGTGGGGAGGAGACCTAAGCAGGGTGTCCTGGTGCCCGATGCACATGGGGCATTGAGGCACTGTCAGGAGTTCCTTCTCATGGTTCACGAGTTCCTCAGTGCCTGGGCTGGAGAATCAGCAGGGAACATGACCAAGTTTTGCGTGCACTGGGGTCACCAGCCCCGGCCTCAGGCTTGCTGAGAGACTGGCCCAGTTTCACTCTATCCAACCTGGCATCGGTGGGAATCCAGATCGGACCCCTCCCCATAAGTAACCGAGTGGTTGCTCTCGTTTCCATCCTTACAGGTGAGAGCACCCCCAGCCCCGCAGACGGCAGTGCCGAGCAGACCCTCAGCAAGCTGGAGATCTCCCTCACCCTCACCAGCAAGTTCGATGTAGTGGAGGCCAGTGGCGAGGAGACCGATGCCAAGAGCTTGCTATTGAGGTGAGTGGGGGGGTCTTGAGGGCAGCGAAGCCTCCAGTATATCTCACAAGTCCAAGGCCTTTTTGATGGCTCAGGGAGCAGCGGAGCCCTTGGAGCCAAGCTAGGAGGCAGCGATCACTTTGCTGATCTGGCTACTTGTCTTCCAGTAGGTCAAATTCCCTAGCTGCAGAGGCTTTCTTTGCAATCTGGCTACTAGGTAGCTTGCCCCGTCTCCCCTCCGGTGGCCACTGGCACAGGTGACTCCAGCTGCCTCTTCTCCCTCAGCACCAAGCAGATGCTGGTGGATGTGATTCAGTCCCAGCCTGGGGATTCCCTCTTGGAGATCTTGCAGACACCAGCATCGGAAGATCAGGTGAGTAGAAAGCCAGGAGAGAAGAACCAACTAGCAGCTGCAGCCTGGGGACTTGCAGCCTGCTATCAACAGGAAGAGGCTTTTATAACTACGTGCTATGATAACAGGCTTCTTCCCAGCTTGCATTCCAGCTTGGTCTCCTTTGTTGACCATGGCTAATGCCTGTTAGCCCACAAAAGCAACACCCCACCCCTCTGTCTCTCCCAGGAGGCCTCCCACCACCAGCTGATGCAGAGGCGGGCCCCACACGATGCCCAGACCCCGAACAAGCTGAAACGTAACCGCTCCCTGATGGGCAACAGCCAGCTCTCAGTGGAGGAGAAGAAGCGGAAGATCCTCCGTAACCTGCGGCACCTGGAGAGCCTGGGGGTGGTGGACTCGGCCAACCAGTACCAGGAGATCGTCAACGAGCTGGCCAAGGTACTGGGGTGGGGTGGAGAGCTAAGGGTTTTGCCTCCCCAGAAGGCTGCTGGGTGGATGGGACCCTGTGGGTCATGGATTAAGATCTTGGCTTGGAAGCTGAGACCCTTGTGCCATTCCCAAAATCCTTTGCACAACTCTGGGCCTGGCACCTTCTCTCCAGACTGCCGGGGCTCTTGTCCCTCTGCCAAGACCCTGACGGACTCTTCTCTCCTCCAGGACATCCGCAACCAGCGGCGGTACCGGCAGCACCGCAGGGGGGAGCTGGACAAGCTGCGTCAGACCCTAGAGGCCCTCCATGCCAAGAGCACCTTTTACGAGGAGCAGGTCGACTACTACAACCAGTACATCCGGACGTGCCTGGGCAACCTGGCCACCAGCAGCAAGTACGCTGGGCCTGGCTCAGTACGGCCATCCCAGTCCGGCTCTGGAAGCCGTGATGGCTTGGCTGGGCAGGGGAAGGTGTGGGATCTCATGCTTCACAGCAGACAGGAGTCAGGAAGGGGCTTCTTGTCCCCTCCACAGACCTCACTGCACTGCTCCCTGCATCTCTCCCTCTTCTGCCTTTCTATTGTTGCCACCATTACTACAAGACCCTCTTAACCTACAAGCAGGCATCGCATTGGAGGTGGTTCTGATTGACACATGTAGCTCATCCCCGTAATAAGCAGCAATTAACTCCGATTAG